ATTAATCTCGGCGGCGGCGAGGAGGCGCTGACCCGGCGGGCGGCGGCGGCTGCAGCGGTAATTACTGCAGGGCGCGCGGAGGCGGCGCGCAATTAGCTGCGACCCGGGAGGCGGCTGCAGACGCGCCATGGGGCCGGGCAGCGGCGTCGCCGGCGGCAGGCTAGGCGGAGGCGCTGCGCCCCCTCCCGCCCCCAAGCCTTTCTCCAGCTCGGGGTTTCCGTACCTCTCGCTGCTCCCCTTTCTGCCCCGTCTACACCACCCTCTCCACGGACTCCTGTTTGCATCCGGCGCCCTCGCCTACCTGCTGGGGGAGCAGGGAAGCAGAGCTCTCAGCTGTCTCAGGGGTACCTGACCTCACTGGGCCCCCCAGCTGCTCAGTGAAAAGGGAACTGCCCTTAACACCCTTCTCGTGGGGTGGTCACACGCCCCTACACACACATTCTGCCCTGGGAGTCCTCTCCTGAGTCTCTGCCCGGCTTGCAGGCATCAGGTCCCGTCTGCACTGCAGGCCGTGGACTGCGGTGCTAGCACACTCAGCACCCGCTCGGCCGGTTGGCGGCCATGGCGGAGGGCAGTGTGCAGCGTAAAGGTGGCTGGCAAGGTGTAGCGGTGCAGGCTGTGGACCTGACTTGCAGTCTGCTCAGCCCAGCTGTGTACCCCAAAAACAAGCACAGGAAACAGGGGAGCCTTGCAAATACAGGCACCCCAGTACCTCTCAGAGAAGGATGGCGCACCAGCCAGAGTGGTGCCCTCTCGGTGCTGGGCCAGGCCCTGCTTCCGACGCTGACCTGCTGTGGCCGAGGGCAGGTGGACATCCAGGCCACCGGGGCTCCTCACAGCAGCTGTTGCCACCTCCTGCCGGACCCTCAGGAGATCTGGGGGGGAGTTGTTGGCAGCAGCAGTGACCCAGAGGCCAGGCTCCCCTGGGCTCTCACTGCCCCCACCCTGTCGAGCACAGGACGCTGGCCAAGGAAGGGGGGTGGGGCGACCAGGAGCTGGCGGCACATCCTCACCGCTCCTGCTGGCTGGTTGATGGGACAGAAAGATGAGCAGAAGACATGGGGCAGGGGGGGCAGATCCTCACGTGCAGTGAGCTGGGGATGCTGATGGGGTGGGGGGCACCCACCGGTCTTGGGAGGGGCCAGGTAAGCACTGGGGAGGACTATGGGGAGGTTAGTTGGAGGGGGGGAGGACCCGCAGGCCGGGAGACTGTTGACTCCTCACAGTTGCGCGGGCCAGAGCCGGCCTCCAGAAGAGGGGTGTGCAGAGGCCTGAGTGAAGGCGCAGGCCTGCGCCCGGACAGCGCTGTGACCAGAGTCCAGGAGCTGGTGTTCTCGAACCCTGACTAAGGCTGCCCAGGTGACACCCTGCTAGTTGGCACGCGGTGCACACTCCGTGAGTCTGACGCACCGGAACCCTTCATCCTGCTCAGGGACGGGCCTCGAGTCCCCCCCCTCAGCCCCCCCCCCACTTGCGCAGGCTCCGCCGCCTGTTTATAAATTAATTACCCGAAAAACGGAGGTGGGTCCT